CGGAGCAGGGGCCGGCTGGGACCGGACGCCGCGGGCAGGGGGAGGCGCCTCGCGACGACAGCCACCTGCGTGCAGGAGGAAAACCGCCCCGCCGCCGCCTCTGCCACGCGGCCTTTGGCCGGCGGCGCCCCCGGCGGCGAGGGAGGGGGGGCCGGGGCGGAGGGCCGGGGGTGACGGTGCTAGGGTTGTCTCCCGACGACGCTCGTTGGAGCGCCTCGGGAGGGGGAGCCGATCCCTTTTTTCCAAATCCAAAAGAACCCACCATAATTTCTTTATGGCCTGCCACAGGTTTACTGTCTAGATTCATATCTACAACGGTTGGGCAAAGTCTTTGAGTACCTGGTCGAGAAGTCATTTCACCTAAGAAATCGGAGAGAAGGACCCAAGGAGTCTACGGGTGGACTTACCTTCTAGCACTGACTTGCACGCTGACTTAGTGTCAAGTCTCGGTGTGTGCGGACTCAGAACTTGGCCTCAGTGATATCTCCTGCACTAAACCTCAATGCAGTTCCCTAGTCTCGACCTGCACACTGCCTGGGGCTCATCTATGGTCGCACATTCCCATGAGGATGCTGCCCCACGCATTGCCCGGGGCTCTTCTTCTATAGTGTCCTTGCGCTTTTCTCTAATGCCGCCACCCACGATGCCCCACCCAACTCTTTCCTACAGTTTGCATAGGTCGGGCGTCAATATCGTCTGGACTCGTCCGTGGCAGCATTTGCTGTGCTCTTCCGCAATCATCGTAATTTTTCCACCAGGTCAGATATATCATATTAGTTAATCTGTCTCTTTGTTATCTTGCACAAGCACATATGAAAGTGATAAGGTTAAGCAAATGAAGTAGTTTTTTGAGGAGTCTTTCTATGCTTTCATATACGAAACTGCAGAGATTTTATAGCAACCGAGAGCTGACTGTTGGGGTGCAAATCAGTCCCTTCTACTAACAATTGTGTCATGTTATGCATGGTTCTTAACAACAGATAACAGCACTATTTTAAAATTTATTATCTGTTCAAGATGTGTAGCGAAGGGGAGCCTTGGCGCAGTGGTAAAGCTGCTGCCTTGTGACCATGAGGTCATGGGTTCAAGTCCTGGAAACAGCCTCTTACAGAAATGTAGGGAAAGGCTGCGTACTATAGACCCAAAGTGGTCGGACCCTTCCCTGGACCCTGCGCAAGCGGGAGCTACATGCACCAGGTTGCCCTTTTTTTTCAAGATGTGTAGCATATTTATATGTTTTCTGTTGCTGCATATCAAGGCCATATGATTCTAATGTTGTATGTGGACTACCTAATCGGCTTTAACTTTTTAAGCAGCTGCTGGAACAGATTCACTTAAAGCGATGGAGGACAATTTGGAATTCCAGAAAGCTACTCTGAATGCAATTAGGAAACTATTCTATGATAAAATGTATGGTTTACATATGATCCATAAATCATATAAAATTCCTAAGTGCACTCTGAGGAAATATGAACTTGTATTTCCATGAGGACATAGGCTGATATATACACACGTACAGTTGTGGTAAATATGCAAAATCCCTTATACAATGGGGATATTACACGGCTATTAACCCCAACACACTTATATGAAAAAATATGATCCGAATATATTATAGTCAGTGGCAGAACACCCCTCGCCCCCTCCTGCAGTGTTTCCTATTATAGTTGGTGATATGACTATTTGGACTCATTTTACCTTTATGTTGGGAACTTTCTGTAAATCTTCAGCATGTCTGCTAGAGTTCAAGTATTTAGTTATGCCCCTAATGTAGCGACATAAGTTAAGATATCATGCGGGGCTATCTACCCGCCTTGCTCTCCCTGCCGATGTTTATTGGCCATCCGATCTTGATGGGAGGCACCTGACCATCTGTTTTGTGCTGGTGGATGAGACTTTCTTTACTTTGCTCAACGTCCTTATTCTTATTTTGCCCTGCGTTTCAGCAAAATAGGTAGTGTTGAACCAGTGAAAACTTTCTCCTCTTTGCTATTTGCCATAGAAAGCAGCGCCTGTTTCGCTGTCTCCGTCCCCGTCCCCTGTTTTACCTTTCATGGCTCGCAGAGAAATCTCACTAAACATAGTTATTACAGAAACTCAAATGCAGAAGCTGAAAGTTCCATGTCCTCCAGGGTGAAAAATAAAACAATCCGTGTGTGTCAAAAAATTCTGAGAAATGTCCTTTCTACACTTGTAAATTATCATGGAAAGAACATTTTTGCGTCCTGTGCAAAAAAAAAAGTTTGTTGTAAAAAATGGCTTCTGGATCACCAAATTTATTGAAAGTTGTAAGCATACAAAGGACTCATAACATTTGCAGGTATAATTTTTTACGTATTCTATGACAATCTGAACTTTTCGTACTATCTCCTTTCATGGGAGCTAAAATGCTGCTCCTGACTCAGATATGTTTCTTTCACTCTTTTGCTTCAAGCGAAGAAGCATGTGGAACAATAAATCAGGGATAAGTGTCTCTGACTATTAATATTCTTTGTAGGGAAAGGTTCATCGCTGAATCTAAAGACTTCCAAGTTAATATGCTTGGAGGTTCAATTGAGGATTTACCTCTCCTACTAAAGGAAAGAGATTCACTAGAGAATGAGAGTGAGAACTTGAGAATGAAGATCAACGCCATACAAAGTTCATCAAAGGAATACATTGCTGAGATTCTTGAGGAGGTAAATGTGGAAAATTCAGGTAAGTGATAAGTACATTCTATGTTATTTCAGCTGAAGATTAGGTTCTATCAGTTATCATTTTACTGGTTTCAGTTAGGCTCTGTTTGGATGTAGACATTCAATGGCTTGGCATTGAATTTGCTCAAATGCCAAAAATCCCAAGATATTGAACGTCAATGCTAATTTTAATGTTTGGATGCTCATGTATTTAGCACTTGGAATCTATGAGGAGCACCGATTCCACTACCTGTTTGGATGGTCAAATATTGAATCTACAATCATACGCCCCCACAGAGCAACGCATGCACACAGCCACAAGACAGCACACACACAGACATCACCAGGCTAGCCCCGCCGCGGTGCGTGCTCGCTGGCCCAGCCGCTAAATGCCCAGGAAATTGGAGCTCCAGCCGGTGGAGATGGCCGGAGGATTGCCGGATAGAAGAGAGAAGAGGAGGAGCACTGAGCTGTGCTGCCGTTGAGCTCCGCCGCTTGGAGCATCTTCTCCCTCGGTGTCCCGTCCTCCCGTGTAACCCTGTTCTTTTTCTCGTGTGGGAAAGAGTGAAAGGGCAAGGAAGAGACGATTCTACTGAATGCAGAGCACCGGGGCTTCAAATTCGGGGAGGGGGCGCACCAGTGTTACAGAGAAGGCTACGATATCCTGCGACAATTCCTTGCACGAATGTCCTGGCCACCCAAACAGCGGCATTCGGGCTAGCCAAATGCCAATTACCAATTCCTGGCCCGAATGTCTACATTGAAACGGTGCCTTAAGTTATTTGGTGATGTTGAAGTTCTCTACATTCTACACAAATTTTGGTTGCTTCTTTTCATTTCGGTTCAATTGTGGTCTTCAGTTGCTTATCAATTGATAAAACTTTTTGTTCATCTGCCACTTTTAAGTGTCGGAAGTTATTTCACAATATCTGCGACTTGATTTATTATACATTAAAAAAGTGGTTTAATGTTGGAAGTTCAATTCTACACTTGACATGGAAAGCAACAATTACTCTCTTGACAGTTGCCTTTTGCCACTAGGACTCTTAACAATGCGCACATTATTATTTTTGTATCAGCATTTTATCTCTATGCCTAGATGAGCATTTCTAGTGTCAGTAGTTGCAAAATTAGTCCTCAACTCATAGTGTGCGAAGAGAAGAAAATAAAAATATTTATTATCTGTTTTAGTTTTGTTTTCCTTGCATCTCCTTGCGTGCAGTCTTGTCTCTGGGGTCATACCCTTTTTTTTTGCGGGGTGAAAGAAATTTATTCCATGGTAATAGACTGGGGTGGGGTCAGACCTTTAACTATGTGTATTTTAGACCTTCAGCATGCTGCCTCTTTTTATGTTGGGCAGTTGGTTATTTTATTCGTGCATTTGCTATATGTAAGCCGCCTAGATTCTGTTACATCATAACCAAATTTGCCTTCCTTCTGAGTGCTGCAGTTCTGGAGTCTGATGTACACTATAGGATTTCGGAATACATGGAAATTCTCAAGGATATAAACAACCTGAAGATTCTATTTAGTTCGAGCAATTCTTAAGAAGGGTCTTCATTGTTGCAGGTAATTGCATATTTTATTTTGGCTTGATGTTTTTCTTACCCCCAGGCACACCTTTGACTTTTGTTTTCTGTCTAGGCTCATGACCCATCAAAGTTGCCACATGTTTCTTGTGTCTTCAGTATGCCATTTTGGTTTGGCTGTCAAGAATCTTCAGCAAGCTCAATGGAAATACCTTGTACATGTTTCTTCTGTCGAGAAGGTTACACCAGATCTAGCACGAATTTACTGCACTACCAAACATGTATTGGTCATGGCTTGTATATACAGTTCAGTTAACCTCTGTACTGTAGATTTCAAGCTGAGGGATAGTAGGAAAAGGCAAAGTGCCTAGGAATGCAGATTGGAAAAACAGCAAAGTCTTTTGTGGGCAATTGTTGTTTTTAAATCTGATCGAGGAGATGTGAAAACGTCAGATATTGCGAGAAATTGTTAGTAATGGAATAGTTGGTTCATCTTAAGGGAAATTGTACGCCACTACATGGCTCCTCGATCTCTGATGTACCAGTGAAGAATGGAACAATAATCTTACAGCTCACTAGAACAATAATCTTACAGCCCGTCTTCACAAATTTTAAGAATATCGAGATGCCATATCTGAGAAAAGTGAAACGGTTTTAGATATAGGATTGCATAACAAGTTTAAGGATAAGAATGCATGAATTGATGTACACATATTCAGACATTAGCTGACGGGAATGTGTAATAGCATGGCTTCCAAACTAAAAATAATTTAGGACAGTGGATATCACTTGAAATACTAAGGGATTGAGGCATGTCCATCATTGACGATATGTTGTTCGCGAGAATACACTTCATTGGGATAACTCCATGCAATGCTTTTCAAATATTTTTTCTTTTACTTTCGCGGGCAATGCAAGCTTCCAAACATTCGGTCAAATAGGATTAGAACCACTGGACGTCGAAGGCATAACATGGGGCATATTATCGAACTTGATGTCTCCACTTGACGTGATAAGCAGATTTTATCGAGAAGGTGTTGACATCAGATTTTTGCATGGCACAAAACCCAATCAAGATGACATCGGATGGAAAAAGTTTCAACATCAAAGTCGTGCGTCTCGTTGAAACAGTTGATTTTGATATAAAAATTGTCTTATCTGAGGTCGCATGCAAAAGTTAAAGGCAAAACAATGTTGCTGCAGAAAAAATTGGCATTATCGGATTGTCCGAAAATTGGACCAGACTGTCCGATCCAGATCGTGAAAATCGCCCAAAGCTTTTGTTGGGACCAGACTGTCCGGAAGTTGGACCAGACTGTCTGGTCTAGATCGCGAAAATCGTCCAAACCTTCTGTTCGCAATAGACAGTCCGGTAAATAGTCCGGTCCAAATCGGAATTGCTAGTTTTCGTAAGTTTGATCGGTACGGGGATGATTAAGGGCTTAAGATGGAGTCAAATGAAAAAATGCATAAAATGAAAGTTTTTCGTTTTTCCAGGACGAACAACTCTTCTTTTTACTCGATTTCTATCCGAGATTGTTTACTGCCTCAAAAGTGACCCACAAGGTGCAGCCAGATTATAAACCGAACAGTTTTGTAAAGTTCGGATTCCGAGTTGGACCCAAACTAGGGTTTTGAACGTGAATTCTAACCTTTTCTTGTACGGGAAGTCTATCCGCCTCTTATATACATGAGGGGTGACGGCCTATTGAACAATAACACACAATCGACAAACTCATCTACCACTTTTTTATCTTTTACCTTCTCCCTTGTTCTTCTTCTTCCTCGTTCTTCGTTCATTCTTCTTGTTGCAGGGCGGCGAACCACGAGACCCTAGGGGCGTTCAGGCCGACCTAGGGCAGCCCATAGCCGCCGCGCGCCCTGGCGGGGTCCCTCCCGGGTGTGTGGGGTTTCGGGTCTACAAAGGTGTCCACGGATTGCTTGTGTACCGCACTTCCAGCCGGGTCTCCTTCGACATGAGTTGCGGTGCATCGCCTCCGGCATCGAGGGTACAGGTGACGTGTTCATGTGCGAACACATTTTTTGGCGACTCCGCTGGGGACTAAAGATCAATCATCATCATCATCCATCATGTCTAGCAACGAAAAGATTCCCAAGCCCTAGAAAATCAACACCGATAAAATAATCAAGCCCAATTTTGAGGAGTTATCGAAGGAACATCGCCAAGCTTATGAGGAGTACAAGAAGGTGCGTGAAGAGAAGGAGATGCAGGAGTTCCTTGCTAAGTTCAAGAAGGACCGTCAAGGCAATATTGCAGGGGAACGTAGTAATTTCAAAAAATTTCCTACGCACACGCAATATCATGGTGATGCATAGCAACGAGAGGGGAGAGTGTTGTCTACGTACCCTCGTAGACCGATAGCGGAAGCGTTATGACAACGCGGTTGATGTAGTCGTACGTCTTCACGGCCCGACCGATCAAGCACCGAAGCTATGGCACCTCCGAGTTTTAGCACACGTTCAGCTCGATGACGATCCCCGGACTCCGATCCAGCAAAGTGTCGGGGAAGAGTTCCGTCAGCACGACGGCGTAGTGACGATCTTGATGTTCTACCGTCGCAGGGCTTCGCCTAAGCACCGCTACAATACTATCGAGGATTATGGTGGAAGGGGGCACCGCACACAGCTAAGAAAACGATCACGTGGATCAACTTGTGTGTCTAAGGGTGCCCCTGCCTCCGTATATAAAGGAGCCAAGGGGGGGGGGTGCAGCCGGCCCTAGTAGGAGGCGCGCAGGAGGAGTCCTACTCCTACGGGGAGTAGGACTCCCCTCCCTTTCCTTGTCCAAGTAGGAGAGGGGGAAGGAAGGGAGAGAGGAGAGGAAGGAAAGGGGGGCGCCGCCCCTCCCTCCTTGTCCAATTCGGACTAGGGGGAGAGGGGGCGCGCAGCCTGCCCTGGCAGCCCCTCCTCTTCTCCACTTTAGGCCCATGAGGCCCATTAACCCCCCGGGGGGTTCCGGTAACCCCCCGGTACTCCGGTTTTATCCGAAACTTCCCCGGAACACTTCCGGTGTCCGAATATAGCCATCCAATATATCAATCTTTATGTCTCGACCATTTCGAGACTCCTCGTTATGTCCGCGATCATATCCGGGACTCCGAACCAACTTCGGTACATCAAAACTCATAAACTCATAATATAACTGTCATCGAAACCTTAAGCGTGCGGACCCTACGGGTTCGAGAACAATGTAGACATGACCGAGACATGTCTCCGGTCAATAACCAATAGCGGAACCTGGATGCTCATATGGGCTCCCACATATTCTACGAAGATCTTTATCAGTCAGACCGCATAACAACATACGTTGTTCCCTTTGTCATCGGTATGTTACTTGCCCGAGATTCGATCGTCGGTATCTCAATACCTAGTTCAATCTCGTTACCGGCAATTCTCTTTACTCGTTCCGTAATACATCATCTCACAACTAACTCATTAGTTGCAATGCTTGCAGGGCTTATGTGATGTGCATTACCGAGAGGGCCCAGAGATACCTCTCCGACAATCGGAGTGACAAATCCTAATCTCGAAATACGCCAACCCAACATGTACCTTTGGAGACACCTGTAGAGCACCTTTATAATCACCCAGTTATGTTGTGACGTTTGGTAGCACACAAAGTGTTCTTCCGGCAAACGGGAGTTGCATAATCTCATAGTCATAGGAACATGTATAAGTCATGAAGAAAGCAATAGCAACATACTAAACGATCGGGTGCTAAGCTAATGGAATGGGTCATGTCAATCAGATCATTCACCTAATGATGTGATCTCGTTAATCAAATAACAACTCTTTGTCCATGGTTAGGAAACATAACCATCTTTGATTAATGAGCTAGTCAAGTAGAGGCATACTAGTGACACACTGTTTGTCTATGTATTCACACATGTATTATGTTTCCGGTTAATACAATTCTAGCATGAATAATAAACATTTATCATGATATAAGGAAATAAATAATAACTTTATTATTGCCTCTAGGGCATATTTCCTTCAGTCTCCCACTTGCACTAGAGTCAATAATCTAGTTCACATCGCCATGTAATTTAACATCAATAGTTCACATCTTTATGTGGTTAACACCCATAGTTCACATCCACATGTGACCAACACCCAAAGGGTTTACTAGAGTCAGTAATCTAGTTCACATTGCTATGTGATTAACACCCAAAGAGTACTAAGGTGTGATCATGTTTTGCTTTGTGAGAGAAGCTTAGTCAACGAGTCTTCCAAAATTCAGATCCGTATGTATTTTGCAAATTTCTATGTCTACAATGCTCTGCACGGAGCTCCTTTAGCTAATTGCTCCCACTTTCAATATGTATCCAGATAAAGACTTAGAGTCATCCGGATCAGTGCCAAAATATTGTATCAACGTAATCCTTTTACGACGAACCTTTTGTCACCTCCATAATCGAGAAACATATCCTTATTCAACTAAGGATAATTTTGACCGCTGTCCAGTGATCTACTCCTAGATCACTATTGTACTCCCTTGCCAAAAACAGTGTAGGGTATACAATAGGTACACAGCATGGCATACTTTATAGAACCTATGGCTGAGGCATAGGGAATGACTTTCATTCTCTTTCTATCTTCTGCCGTGGTCGGGCTTTGAGTCTTACTCAATTTCACACCTTGTAACACAGGCAAGAACTCTTTCTTTGACTGTTCCATTTTGAACTACTTCAAAATCTTGTCAAGGTATGTACTCATTGAAAAAAACTTATCAAGCATCTTGATCTATCTCTATAGATCTTGATGCTCAATATGTAAGCAGCTTCATCGAGGTCTTTCTTTGAAAAACTTCTTTCAAAACACTCCTTTATGCTTTGCAGAATAATTATACATTATTTCCGATCAACAATATGTCATTAGCATATACTTATCAGAAATGCTGTAGTGCTCCCACTCACTTTCTTGTAAATACAGGCTTCACCAAAAGTCTGTATAAAACCAAATGCTTTGATCACACTATCAAAGCATTTATTCCAACTC